GTACCATCTTTTTTTTGAGGGGGTCCTGACAAGACATACAATAACATAAGACACAACAAAATATACTGCAAATAACAGACATAGTTGTGACACATTGTAAAAATACAAAAACAAAACCGCACTCACGCACCAGGCACACGCCACCAAATCTAGACACGCATACTAGTATTAACGGTACAGTATAACCGTACATAGTGTTAACAGAAGCAGTCTGTTGTGGGCTGAGTGATGAGAGCCTTTATAAATCAACCAGAGATTTCAGAGAAGTTGGTAGGTTGTTCCACTCTCTAGGAGCTTCAATGTTAAATGCTTTTTTTCCTATTTCTATAAGTTTTTGGAACATGAAACAGGATATGGTTATTGCTTCCAAGAGAATAAATAAGATTGGAATTTTGCGGGATGAATAACTCTTGTAACTAGATAGGATATTTGAAATTAATACATTTGAAAAGAAACGGATACCAGTGCCGGTGCCGTCTATTTGCATTTGCAACATGAGCATTGTCTTTCATCATGTCACATTTGTGTAGTAGAATGCTAGAATTTGTAAAGAAAAAAAAAATCTAGATCAAAGTATGATAAAGATATTATAAATTATATAACATATAAACGTAAATGTCTGACGCAAGTATAGTTTTTCACCTCTCAAAATCATATAGTTGCCAAGGCCTCATTCATATTTTTTTGACCGTTATTTTACCAAAAATCTCTTTTACAAGAGAGACCGAACTATGTTTGAAAACATTACGTTACCTCAGTTGATCATGTGGGGAGATTCAGGCTCATTTCATTCTGTTTCCAAACATTACTGATGTAAATGAAACTTTACAGCATCACTAAACATTAACAACATAGATTTAGCGTGTTGAGTAACGAGCCTACACAATGTGATTTTGGGCTAGTTAACAGTTGTGACAGAATCTTTGGGAAAACAGTGGCCCTCGATCGCACTGAGACACGCCCACTGACGGTCAACAGTCTGATGCAGATTGTGACCTAGGTTTTATTAGACCTGTCTCACTCCGTGCGACATGCAATTAACCTGCAAGAAATTCTTTTTTTTCAACCCTTGGTTTGAAGGTTTTGATTAAAACTTTTCTGTACTTTTTTTGCAATCATTCACTTTCTCGCCCTCCCCTCTCAGATTCAACTACGGCGACCACTTCTGGGAAGTCAAGAGCAAGCTGTTCAGCTGCGAATGCGGCTCTTCCAAGTGCAAGTACTCGTCAGCGGCCATGGCGTCACTGCAGGCGGACAGCACACCGGAGGACAAGCGGCAACCCAGCGCGTCACCTGACACCAGCTCTTCCAACAGTCCATCCAGTCCTTAAAACCCTCCTCACACTAAGCTTCGCTACATGTACACGTGACTGACGCACACAGAGAGACGCCTGTCTCCATCCTCCTTGAACTTGGAACTTTTATCAGTGAACTTGTACTGTATCTCCGCTTCTGATTTGGACCATGGACCATTGACCTTCGTGAGAACCCCTAACACGTTGTCACACAGAACCAGATGCACAATCAAATCTTGGAGGAACTTCCACCTTTATTCCACCTTGTGTAACATGAACAGCAGGGGCAGTGACATAATTTACAACAAACGACATAGGGATAATAAAACCGTCTTTACGTTTCAAACATAATTGTACTGGGAAGGAGAACTGTGCATTTTGTTGTCTTTGTCTTTTTTTTTTTTTTTTAAGATAATTGGATGATATTGTTAATGACTTTTCTTATAGTCATGATCAAGGAAAATGGGTTTGGGCATGAGGGTATTGTTGTCTTTTGCGAAGATGACCTCAGCATACAGCTGGATTGAACTTGTTTGACCTTTGCGGTCAATTGTCATGAACCATTCCGGCAAAATTAGCTGATAAATACTGAATTATGTTGCCACTTCTTTGTGTCACTTCATCTTTGTTGCAGTGTTTGAACAGACATGTCCAACTTTTGCCACCATAGTTTATTATGAATTGATGAATTAACTGAAATGATGTGAAAGACAAAGAAATGGTGATAGTGGATAGCTTTTTTTTTTATTTACTACTCAAGTGAGTATCTATGGTCTGATAGAAAGTTGCTGTACCATTCCTCAAAATGAGGGGTTTCTAGTCAGAATAAATTGGCTGACCTTTTTTATTAAGCATGTTTAAGGGGATCTTAACGTGTCAAACTGTTTGCGACAGTTGCGGAAGAATTGATTAAACTGAAATGGAGTTAAAAACAAAACAAACAATGGTGCTGACAAAGGTTTTTACTTTTGTTTTCCTTTTTATTACCTAAGTGAACATAGCTTGTAAAATAAGAACGTTTTAAGTTTTTTATGTTTAATTTTAACTCCAGTTTTCTAATCGTAGTTACTGTAGGTAGGCTGTTTTTAATTTAGTTTCATGATTTTGCCGACAGAAGCCAACCCGTCTTTTTAAATGTTGTTAGTAAAGCAGTGACTGTTGTGCAAAGTCTTGAAAGGTATAAATGATTAAAAAAAAGGTTATAAAAATGCACTTCCATAATGTTCTGTTACATACTTCTGGACCGTGAACCATCCATCTAATTGGTTGTATCTTTTTCAATAAATTTACTACTAATACATGTATTCTGATAGTTTTACTTGTTGCCGTTTCTGCTGGAAGGCAAGCCTGTTTGCTAAAATGTTACCTAAAGGTTTTGCAGAATTTAAAAATCACATTGCCTCATTCTCCAGCTCTGTCATTTTTGCAGATTTTCTTCCGGTCGAGGGAGAGATTGCTTTTTTTAGCTCCTTATCTTAAGAACCACAAACACTTTACTGAAAGATCTTCAAACTGAAGCCTGCAGTCAATTTGACCCTGCATGAACCGAGCAGCAGCTCAGTTTTGACAGGCGGGCCCAGGGCCTGCGCTGAAATATTTGGGCAGCTGTGCCATCAGAGCCGCTGACATTTCCCACACTTTGCTTTAATGAGTTCAGACTTTGAAAGCATTTGTGCGCTGATTTTCAAGAGCTGCTGAAGCTCATTAGAAGCTACTAAACTAAATGCTGGTGTTGGTGGAAGAAGTAGTAATACCACTACAACTACTCCATTACAGATACAATCACAGGATTTATGACTGAAAGGCACTGGAGTATCAAAAGCCAAAACAAGTTTTTGTTTTTTTATATAGCGCATTTCATATTCAGGGCTCTTTACATACAAGAAATTTAAGAATTAAAAAAGATGACTTAAAGATAAACAAAATAACTTAATGTTAAATGCTACTCTCCCATGGTCCGCTCACACCGGTGTTTAAACTTATTTCACTTTCACTTATTTGCATGATTAGACATGTTTTAGTGGATGCATAACTTACACTTTTTATCATCTTGATAGGCATGTTGAGTTGTGTCATTTACGCTGGGGACGCTGGGGTCATGTCCGCTCCACTTTTTTAACCTAACAGACACCTATTTCCAGGTAAAACACCTAAAATAACATACCCAAAATGATTCAGTAATAGCTCCTCTATTAGGCCTAGATGCATAATTCTGGTGTCCTTAGATAGATCAGAAGCTAAGGAATATGAATCAACTGGTCTAAATTAACCTATTTATTGTGCTATTAAAGAGTGAATGGAAATGCAATAAAATTATATTTTCATCCTCACCTGGTATAAAATCAATTAAAATAGCAATATCACCATCAAAACCATCATCCTGTAGATTATAGTGCAACTGAATATCTTCTAATACACCTGGAATACAACTATAACTGTAAATTTAAAAAAGAAACTAATATGCAACAGTGTTACACAATTTCAATTCAAAAGTATACCTGGCGTATACCAGTTGAATGTCCATGTTTTGGCCATATTTACTGTTTACGTGTTCACTTTTATTGTGAGATTTCATCAAAACACTATTTCTGTCCATACAACAACGTTCCAAATAACATAAAGCTCATCAACATGATCAAAAGAACTCCCATGCTTTACAGGCCCACAACTTGAGAACAGAACATCCTACTGTGCTGTAAATGGGCTCTCTTGTCTATGAATCGATTCATGTATTGGATGTGTATCTACTATGGGTCAGCGAGCAGACCACGATAAAGACCAAAGCAACACTTTTTCCCATGCTTTAATCTCTGGTGAGAAATTAAACAAGAGCAATATCCAAGATGGCGGCCCGCAGTTATTTTTACAAACAAAACAGCTGTTTTTGGATGGAAAACAGCAACAACGTCAAAAGTAAGTTAGCAGTTGTAACTGTAAATGTATATTGGTGCGTTTATTATTATCTGGCTAATAAGTCTGTGAGTTTAGTGATTTGAGTTATATACACAGCTGATCAGAGCTGGTGCTGAGCTTTCTTTAGAGTGGTCAGACTGCGGTGTGGGATGAGATGAGAGATATGTGGATGGCAATGACTGCAGCCATGTACAGTGATTACAGAGCGATTTATGTTGCAGTCATTTAGATGCTTAGTGTTTGATGGGTGTTTGGTGTGGATAAAAATGGCTGGTTTGGCCGAGCCTCCTAGCTTCATGGAGGTGTGTGGCATGATGTGTCATGGATGTCTCATTTGCATTTTGTGTGTGAAAATGCTTTGAGAAAGTTTTATTTGCAAAATAAGATAACATGCAATGTAATTAAAATATAGAAGACACAAATGTGAATTGTCCAAAAAAAGTACAAAAACACCTGAATTTTGTGTTTCCCTTCACATAAATAAGGACATTTACACCATAAATTACTGCACAAAATGTCTCCAGAATGCCAGAAATTAAGTGTTTGATGCTTTAAATCCCCACTCATATTTTTCAGCATTGAATATTTCCTCAAAATATCTTCTTGTTTTGTTCTTGTGACACAAGTGTATCATCACACCCCTAATCTGAGCCCTTAGGTATGCACCACTTTTCAACACAAAGTGACACTCTTGATGGAAACCACCAGTGTGGGTGTACAGAGCCTGTAACGTGATAATGAAATAAGAGTTCTTTACATTTCTTGAGATAATAAAATGCTAACAACAAAAATGTTAACACATAAGTGATCTTCACCATCTTAGGTTAGCATGCTAACATTTGCTACTTAGCATAAAACAAAAAGGACAGATGAGGCTGACGGGAATGTAACTAGTTTTTCAGTTATTTGCTCATAAATTGCCTGGGACTATGAATGTGTGTTCCAAAATTTCATTGCAATATTTTCATGCCATCCCTGGAACCACGCTGGACCACACTGCTAGCAGGGCTAAAATGCAGCTTGACCAAGCTAAACAAAGCTGTCCTTCAGACTGCATGAAAAGCTGACATGTTTTCCCCCAACAACACTAATGTATCAAAGGCTTACAATCCTAATCCGCAATTGTAACTAGTAAGAATCGCAGTTGATGTACAACAGAGAATTGAAGTTTTTTCCTCTGAAGCTGAAAGAGAAAGCATAAAAATGGAAATATTTAAGTAAAGAAGGCTACAGTACTTTCCCACTGTACTTGACTATAGTACCTGAGTAAATGTAAGTTACACAGTTCTACTTTTGCAACTAGAACTCAACCAAGGAAGAAAGTTGTAAAAACAAAAATCCTATCTTATCTTATAAACTGACCGATGATTGCTCCCTTCCTGGTTACCAGGGCGGACAGTGAAAACACAGTCGATAATTGAATCAGAGAAATTTCTTCTTGAGCATTGAAGACGGCTGGTCTGATAACAAGGTTCTTAACTGGCAGGGCAGGAAGCAGCCTTTCCGCATTCCAAGGTGGGAGAAACTTTTTTATTTTGTCTTTGGTGCCTTACAGAGGATCCTGCTGCAGGCGGACACACATGACCTGTGTGAGGGCCAAATTGTTGCTTTATCCCACCGTTTAGTTGGATTTATCTCAGTAACCCTGGAGAGCAACTATGAAGAGAACAGTTCCTCTCAACTCCAGATGGGCAGAGAGACGATCTACTGTGGTTTATGGTACGTTTATTCTGGTTCTTACCACCTTTGTTTGCATTTGTTTACATGTCTTTATTGTGTTAAGAACCATTAGTGTAGGGAATCCTGAGTAAAGGTCCCTGGTTTACTGGCATCTGAGGTTAATGGAAAAACTTTACAAAAATTATGTGTTTTTCTTTTAAATATTTTATTATTTGTTTTTTGTCATATTACTTATTGGGTAATATAGGTGAAAATGATAAATAATTCTACTTATTTGGCTGAGTTCAAATGTTCGTTGTCAGTGCCATTTTTATATGCAATGCCATCACATAACTATTCAAAAGCAGTAAGGCTGCATCTGGGCTGAGCATAGCCTTTTATATTACAAGCCAACAGGCCTATGGGGAATGTCTGTGGGACGTGATTATCAACAGAGATTATGGCAACATTTAAAAAGTCAGTCTAAAATGGCTTTGGACACGAACACCCTTTCTTAGGGGTCAAATAGAAATGTAGTGTTCGCCTTGTTTTACCTGGCTTAGCCCCATTTGGGACTGGGAGCCAGTAAGCCAAGGCAGTGTGACAGCGAATCAGCATGCAGGATACCAGGTCCCTGAAACTGAAGCAGCTAAATGGAATTCAGCCATAATTCATTTTATAAATTAGATCTGTGCTTCTCATACTGTGAACTGTCAAAATGTCTGTGAAAAAGCGGCTTTGGCTACAGCCTGAGGCAAAGATCCTCAAGGGCGTACTGATCTTGCAGAAGCCGCACATATAGGTGAGGTTTATGCTTCATTGCAAGTACCTTCAAACTACTAACCGTATGCTTAAATTCGAGGTCTATCATGATTGGGACAGGAGGACCCAGCGGGTAGACCATTCCCAAATGTGATAGGACAGGCCCTGCTTGGACTTACAGATCAAGTGACTCATTTCAGACTTCTGGAGTCTATGTTTATAGATAACCTGTGTTTTGAGTATAAAACACCAACTGATTGAGGGCAGCTCACTGGCAGCAAAGCGTTACAATAGATTGCACCAGAACTCAGTTTAATGGAACCAAACGTCCATCCACATGTTCACTATGTTCCAAATACTCAGAGGTTGGCCAAAACATGTAATTTGTTGCTATAGTTTGACATATTTGGTGAAGATATGGCCTAGGTGTTTCTAACTTGCTGAGCACACACATGGGCAGATAAAATGTTTATTTTGATGCAGGAGTTGTTTTGAGAAGTTTCATTGGGCATTGTTGTGAACCTGTCTAACTGCTGCAAAGGAACAGCCCATTAACTGTGGTCTCAGTGTCACCTTGCAAGCTTAAACTGTAGTCAAAACATTGTTATCACTTGCTCTTTTGCACTATACATAAGTTGTTGTTTTTTTATTGCACAAAATGTAAAACTGGCCATCCATAAATCAAGATCATGGCATGATGTGCTCTGCCTGCGTATTCATTTCTTTCACCCACCAGCGTTACGCGCAGCCACATTGGGCTCCTGGAGGATGCTTACCTTGGGGGCAGAGTACGAGGATACCTGGGCTCTGTCACCTGACACCAGTCGCCGTCCCGAGCGTCGGGTGGAGGAGGAGGAGGAGGAGGAGGAGGGGCCAGACATGGAGGGGCCAGACACCTGCGCTGGAGGCCCGGAGGGGACGTCATGGAGAGCTGTTTCCCCCGACACCGTGCAGAGGCGTGACACAGTTTTACACATGGACGGGCTGAGCAGAGAGGGGAGGAGAGACGGTGTGGGTCAGATCGTCAGGAGGCACGAAATCGTGAACAGCACGCCATGGCCCCGCGGGTGAGACACAAACCTTTCTTCTGAAGATTTAACAATGAGTGTAGCATGATGTCCTCTAGTGGGAAGTTCTTGGGTCTTGGGGCAGTTACCCCACTTTGTCCAGTTAGTAATTAATTCTCATACATTTAGAATATAGTGTTCTGGTTAATTGGTTTATACTGTACAGAACCCCATAACCCACTCCAATTATCATTCATATCACTCTTTCTCATTAGTTCTGCAGTACATTAGCTGAACCACTAGATGGCTCCTCAGCCATGTACAGAGCAGTCAACTTAATGCTTTGGCTGCAGATGATGTTAACAGAGAGCTACATTAGTTTTTAGATGCTAAATTGATAAAGAGCAAAACAACACAAGTATCAGAGCTGACACTATATGGCCAAAAGTATTTTTTTTGTATCTTTGTGTACTTACGGTGTAGCATTCGTGTGTCCACATACTGTGGCAACTTGTAGTTTGAATGACAAAAAACAGAAATATGTGGGAAAAGTAACCCATTATCTGCTAATTGTTTATCCATAAAACAGCCCAACACACATGTTGTGAATCTCTTAATATTAAAAGAGAATTTTTGTATTGTAGCTCTTGAAAAATAAATAAATGCAGGAAATGCAAACTGCTGAGTGAAAACAAATACAAGCTTTAGATCTAAGTAGTGACAGAGTAAAATGTTTTGATGTTGCATTTTAATTCATTTTCTAAATCTAATTTGGAAAGCATAGCCATCATCTCCGGTAAACGCCACACACAAAACGTTCCCAGCAGTAATTAACGTTCACCTAAAGATCCTATTACCTAAATTTATAACTGTCTGTGAATCCCTGAAGCCACTATAAACTTGGCTTGCTTATTTCCTTTCTATGATAAATTGTTAACTATTAACATGTACAGAAATCGGAATGTTCATTATAACATCCACACACAGTATATAACAACAGCAAATTAACATATTTTATTGTCTAGGCATATTTCCAAATACTTTATCTAAGTTATCTGCTGTTTCAAAAGCCTTTTTAGAGCAGCCGGTGAGCTGCAGTGCACTCTGCTGACACCAAGCCTGGAGAGCTGTCACGTGGTTCACGCCAGCAAAGGTCATAACAACATCTGCATGTTTGTATAAACCATAGTTTTTGTCTTCTGTCATAATCTCAGTAGACATACAGAAAATTAGAGAGGAGTTAAACAACTCAGAGGAGCTTCTGTGCTAATTATGAGTTTCACAGACACACACTGTTTTGTGCAGAGCTTCTATTGGAAAACATTTACTGTAGTCAATACAAAAAAACAGTGTGCTGTCTGGGGTCCTGGAGAGCCTGGGCCATAATAGCTAAAGAAAAGGCAAAAAAATGTTATAGCATCTTGATACATTGTGAACATTCATTGTTTTATGAGTCTAAAACATGATTTTGAACTGATAACATGTTTCAGAGCTCCACCTTTGTTTGGGGTCTCAGAGACTTCAAGCTGTAAACATGGTTAAATACAGAGGATTTATGTCTATTTTGTAGTTAGTTGAAGTTAGACCTCTCAGAGATATAACAGACCTGAACTACATTTCTTTGTCTCAGAATGACATTTGACAATCATAATGAGTATATATTTATTCATTCATTCAAAACTCAAAAGATTTCTTTATTTGGTGTGCTTCCAGATTTTGTCACCATCATCAAATGTCCAAGTCCAGTTTTATTGAAGGGTTGCAGGTTTAATACATATTGGGTTTTACTAGGGTCAGAAGAAAAGATGAAAAAGATGGAGTTTGCATCTATTAGTATGAATTTTATAACCTACATACAGCAGTGGGCTCTGTGGGACCCAGGAAGTAAATCACATTTCAACAAAACACAAAGGTTAAATATATGCGAAGTCTGTTGGTTTAGATCATAGACTGTATATAAAAAGGTTTAGATTCACACACTATCGTTTTTTGTCTTCTACAGGTGTCATTTTATCGACACTGAGTGAGTTCACTGCAACTTCCTGAGGAAAACAGGTTGATCTTTGCATTATTTTAAAACAGTCTGTGGTCAGTCGCTACAGTGTTTTGCAGCGCAAAATGTTGACGACATCATCTTCTGTAAAACAAACAAACATGTTATCCCTGTTGTTGATGCCAAAATAAAGACTTATCAACGTTCGTGTCTTTACCTGCAGGGATTTTCTGAACTTCATTAGTTTAATGGTCTCTGATAACCAGCCAACAGACGGTGAGCGCGTTTGTACGCTCCAGTCACCGATAGGCCCATTTTGGTCACATGCGCTCTTCCTTATTCCTCTGAGGACTTGCTTTATAGCCCTCAGCCCCCATACAGGGAGCGATCAAACAGAAATCACAGGGCAACAGCTCGTGTTGGATTGGCTTGTCTTATTGTTGCTTTCAGCTGGGAAAAGAAAACAGAGGGCTTTAAGTGTTTTCTTGGTGATTGTGACGGACATCCTCAACGTTTCAACTGGTGTTTGGATGCTGAAACGATGCTGCCAGGATTTTGGACAGAGACAGGGTGATCGGGTTTTATTTCAGCGTGATTCCTCCCCCCCAACACACACACTCAGAGCCCGGCTGAGATGGATGCAACAGCCTAAGCGAAGTGAATAATTGCACAGCTGGAGTGCTTCATGGCTTTAAACTTTTATGTTTTACATTTCTCTGAAGATGAATGAATGGAAAGGATCAAGGGAACATGGTTTTCAATGAGGCCACCGTATTTTTCATTTTCCAAACGCCTCGCTTTCTGTACACTCTAACGCAAAGCTGTGGTTTGGATGAAGTGTGTTTGTTGTGATGCGTCTCCCCTCCATTTCCACTGACACCAGTTTGGATTTTCCCTTTTGGATCTGTGCGTTTCCAGAATGGCTCGCTTCGCAGAAGATCTACCCACCCGCTATGGAGGAAGCGCAGGCGGCGGAGGGAGAGGTGGACCCGTCTCTGGGAGAGGGGGAGCCCGGGGTGGTGGCGCACCGGGTGGCCAGAGGGTGTACAAGCAGTCGATGGCCCAGAGAGCCCGGACAATGGCCATTTACAACCCGAACCCTGTCAAACAAAACTGTTTAACTGTCAACCGCTCCCTCTTCATCTTCCGCGAGGACAATCTCATCAGGAAGTATGCCAAGCGAATAACAGAGTGGCCATATCCTTCCTGACGAGTAGCACCACGCACAGAGCAGGTGCATCTCTAGCCTATAACCTGTCTGCCCTTGCTTGGCAACCGCAAGCAAATGGTTGAAACGCAGAAACACACAACAGCCTGCAGGCCTGTTTGCCAAGCTGTTAAAATTAGGTGCTGGTTTGGATTGTATTCTATGTTTTCAGTTTAGAAAACCCGCCCTTGCTGTTGAATGACCAGTTGTTTTCGCCTGTGGAGTAGCTACCACAGTGTCTTTATTCCTCTCTGCGCAACGCTGACTGCACCTGTCGCTCCGCTTCTTATCTTTGTTCAACATGACACAAAGATGTTTTTTCAATAGGTGCGGGCAGTGAAAAGACTTCCCATCCGCCTATTGTGTTCCCTTTTTTTTTCTTTCTATTCCCAGCTGAATATTGAGCCCCTGGGCGCTCACATCGACTGATAGCTGAAGTTCTTTTGTCAAATTGTTAGTTATACCGAGCATAAACAGCATTGCCAGTGTTAGTTAATAATGATCAAACATCGTTATTGATCGACGCAACTAGAAGTCAATTAAAAAGCTGCGTGCGTAAAAAGGGCAATAATAAGTCAGCGGTGTGGCTGCTTACACTGACTGAGCTCCACTCCCCACGTTCTCCAGTCATGTAATTCTTAAGAAGAAAAAGCACTAGTTTATGTTGGTTAAAAAGAGACCGCTGGTTCAGGCAGCACCGCCTCGTTGTCTTAGTTAGGAGCCCTCTCCATGGTGCTGAAGTCGCCCACGCTCACCGCCCCACGCCACTCTTTCAACGCTGCAAAAAATGCCCACTCCAATGAGTCGAGTCATGGTCACCCCCCGAATCTTAGTATTTTCTCTCTTGAAATGCGTGAGATATTCTGCCAGAGTGATCTTATTCAGTCTGTTTCTGAGGCTGTTTCTCTTATTTCTAGATGGAAAAGGTCAAAATCTTGAAGTAAGGTTAAATTCATAATAGCAGCCCATGGGGGCAATGACATTTAATACCACTAAGAAAAGTCTCAAAACCAGTGATCTGTTCAAAAAGCAACTAAAATAATCTCAGGTCAAAAGCAGTTTTCACATAATTATGTAACGATTTTGAGACTCAACTTACTAAAAAATCCAATTCCAAAATCCAGTCAATGATGTTGCAACAATATGTTTTTGCAGAGAAACTTGACCCCACTTGACAGGACCGAAATAGAAAAAACTCAGAAGAAAGTGAATGCCACAGCTGACACAGAAAAACTAGACCTCCCCATTTTCTTTTTGAATTCACTGCCAGTAAAATCAGTAATTCTGGTTGCGTAATCAGGGTAGCTGAGTGTGTTATTTGTAATAATTCTACATCTTTACTTCAATGGTCACAGGCTTCATATTCCCTCGTGATTCATAGGCTCTCAATAGGCCCTGACCTGCAGGCAATGACCCAGTGAAAATGGATTGCAGAATGAGGCAACCACTGAAAATGGTTGGAAATGGTCAACCATCTGGAAGGATAACGAGCGCATGTATAGGATGGTTTCTTTCTAGTAAGTCTTCAACCACAGCATGATGGAAGGTTTATGCTTTAGTGAACAGAATGTGCCCAAATCTAAGTTTAATGGCATTTTCCATGCAGCAACATGCAGGATAATTAGCTTTTCTGTTCAGTTTAATGTTGTCTGCCATGATTGGGCACACTTTTTTTCTCAGACAAAAATGGGTTACTAACATTTGATTACTCATTTTATTGTAAAAAAAGAAATAAGAAAATCTGATTTATGATTCAGCTATGAAATGAAATGAATGCAACTTCACTTTCTACTGCTCCTTAACCCTCACACTCCATTTGAGTACATGATCCTGGCAACAATTATCGCCAACTGCATCGTCTTGGCCCTGGAGCAGCATCTACCGGCCAGCGACAAGACGCCCATGTCAGAACGCCTGGTAAGTGCTTCAACGTGCCTGTCTTTGAGGTCACCTCCTTTACACAAATTACTTGCAAACAGCCACTCAGACAGACGTGGAGAGTGATCATTCCAGATTTGATTTCCTCTCCCTTGTCAGAAGCGGCAGGGTCCCAGAGTTACAACAGTTTGACCTGCAAAAGCTTAATTTCAGCAGCACTTTTCACTCATCAGGCTATGGAACGCTGTGAACGCTGTGTGTTTGTTTCTCCCCCCCCCTCCAGCTACTATCTTGTAATCAGTAGAGCCTCTCAGTGAGCTCACTTTGATCCCCTGCTCTGGCTCCCTGTTCCCACAGCTGCTCACATATGCGCTCAGTCTAAACCAACATCTGAACTCTGACAGTCACGTCGCACAGCTAACCAGTCTCAGAAACCAGAGGGGCTGCTGCACGAAGAGGTCAAGTGGCATATCTAGTCCTGTGTGCCACAGAAAAAAAACAAACTGAATAGCACGTCATTTCATGGTTCAGCACTTTGCTGTTCGTGCTGTTGAGGGTGTCGTAGCTCAGGGGAGTTTTTCTCAAAATAAAGAGCCAGAGAGTGTTACAAAGAGCAACAGCTTCATGCGAAAAAGTAAATGAATTCCTCTTGTATTCAACCACCTGCTCCCGTTTTGAATTATCTCAGCGGCCCGTGATGCAAATTCAGCAGTGATGATGTTCCGACTAGGAAAACAAAAACGTAGCATTGAGAACCTGAGAAAGTGATTAGAATGGTTACACAAAGGAGGGAAAAAAAGCATCCTCTCCCTGGCTCCTCCACCTCGAGGATGTAATACAACAAGAAGCCTTTTAATTAGAACAAGGGATCAGCTATTATTTACAAAGCTCTGTCAACACAGTAGGAGGCATGCTGCAAGTGGAGGCGACAGTAGAAGCTATTCAGTAAGAATATTTCAGATCCGTTGCAGGTCTTTAGTGCCATGATCCCTGGAGATTTCCCCAGTCGTCTTCCGCAAGAATATTTATAATTCAGGAGCATTTTAAATGTATGTATAATAGATGTTAACACGCTACTAGTACAGACATTTACCCAGGCAGCCCTCCGGCCCTGTCATTGCATAAGACGTTCAATTGTTTTGTTTATGAGTCTTGTCTTTTTACAGCATACCAAAATGTACTGTATGTCACATTGGATGCCTGTCGTTGTTACTGAAATGTTGCAGGCTCCTATGGCTTCTCTTATTGGCCAGGAACAGCCTATCTGCTTCTCAACAACAACAACAAACTGTCATTATTTTCTACCACAGCCTTCACGCTTGACACAGTGTCTCTCATCCAACATATCCATTATCCCTGGATGTTCGCTGTAGTCACCCAGTGATATAGAAAAGGTCACATTTCTTGTAGTGCTCGAGCCTGTCACACTGCTTTTACATGATTATTTATGTTGGAGGCTATGTGATGCTGGGGGTTGGGGACACTGTCAGGTTGCAGTATGCTTGGAGCGAGAGAGAGAAAAATCTAGGGGTAGAGAGGTTGCAGTGTAGGCGTGAGAAATCCTCTGCTCATGCCATGTACGTTGCCCCAGGCTCTTGCAGATCTTAATGGAGGCAAAGGAAAAAGTGTCATGTCATACGCGCCTGATCAGGCTCCCTTACTAACAGCGAGGCCCAGGAATAACCTAGCCACATACTGCAAATGATCAAACTGTGACACACTGTTGATTGTCTGACGCTTTTAGGGAATAATGCAGAGTGGCCAAATCAGTCCTGTTCAGCCATGTGTGGTTGGCATATGCTCTGAGTGCCAACGTGCCCTTTCAAACAGGAATGTCTTTGTCCTTTTTGGGATAATGTGCTTTGGATTTGCCCTAATGTCACACTAGAGGTGCATCACACCAGAAGCCTTTCTGGTGGGTCCAACTGCCATCATTTATGACCCAATTTCATGTTTAGTTTGTTTAACACACCAAAGGGGCACTTGAATGACCCAAGTACCTCTCAGGTGCCACAAGTACCCCTTTAGTTGCCCCAAGTACCCATTTTGGTTGGCCCAAGTGGCCCTCTGGTCCACCCAAATGTCTCTGTGTTTGGCCCTCCCACTTCCATCCTTTATTTTTGCACAACTGACACACCAGAGGGAACAGGCCAGATTCCCTCTTGGTTCAAATTACATACATAGGAGGCCCTAATTCCCCTCTTGTAGCCTTCTGGTCATTACCTGTGTCCCTTTGGTTGGCCCAAAAGGCCCCCATGTGCCCTTCTGCTCCTAGTTTGCTCCACATCCATGCTTTATTTTGCTTTTATTTTGCCCAAATGGTTAGCCCAAGTACAACACTGCTTGGCCCAAGTGGCCATTTCTTTGACCCAGGTACTCCACTAGCCCAAATGTATTTCTGGTTGCATGAAATGAACAGGCCCGAGGCCCCATAGATTTACCATTGCCCTGAAGATCATGGCTATGTGTGTGAATATTTGTTTTCACTGTATTTACTCTCTTTTCATCCAAAGAAGAGGGTTCCACTGCACTTCTGTTCATGCTGGTGCAAGAAATGAAAGAAGCCATGTTTCTTTCTCTCTTTTACTTACCCCCCTCTCTCCCACATCACGCTTCATTAACCACTCTATTACCTCTAACAAAAAGATCTTCCTCTGTCACTCTCATCCTCTCTGATTCTCTCTGTCTTTCTGTAGGATGACACAGAGCCCTACTTTATTGGAATATTCTGTTTCGAGGCTGCCATTAAGATCATCGCCCTGGGCTTTGCGTTTCACAAAGGCTCCTACCTCCGCAACGGCTGGAACGTAATGGACTTCGTGGTCGTCCTCACAGGGTGAGTCCCTCGCCCGCTGGGTGTCAGCTTGAGATGGAAGCCATAAGTGAGAGAGTGGTTTCTTTTGTGCGTATCTGTGAGCGCCCTGAGAGAGAGTAGTGGAATCACCTTCTTCCAGTTTAGAGCATCTGCCTGCAAGCATCTGCAAGTTATTCAACAAGCAACACAAGTCTGTAAAATGTGTGAAGAGTGTCACATTTATTGCTTTGGGCATTCATTTTCTGTCTTTGATTTTTAACATTGTTGCTGGACTACACTATATGGGCACCCTATCCACATACTTTGTGGCTTCCAACTTTGTGTCAACGGTTTGGGGAAGGCACTTTCCTGTTTAAACATGACAGCGCTCCCTGTGCACTAATCAAGGTCGATCAGGAAATGGTTTTCCCAGTTTGATGTGGTAGAGCTTGACCAACAACCACATTTAAGTGTGTGTTCGGGTGTCCACATGCTTTTGGCTGTACGGTGTAAGACATGCATGTGGTTGATGATAATTTCCAATTAAATTTTGTGATTAAGAAATTTAGAAACTTGTCTCAACAATCGCACGACATTGCCCATCCTTACTCGAAAGCCTTACCACCTGAATATCTGCATGACAAATGGAAAGTAGAAGAAAAACCTGTTTGGTATTTGATATGTGTGTTTTAGAAATAAGTACATATGAGCAGTGCAGGTTGTATTTGTTTTTCTCTTGTTGAGCAGCTCTTAGTTTGGCTTGAACAAGAGTGGCTGCCTGGCAGGGAAGCTGTTAGACTCTAGGGCTTGTAATAGCCTGTGTTTTTTTTTTGTTGATTGTTTTGCTTTTATTTGATTGAGATTTCAGCCAGTAGAGAGAGATAGGAAACAGAGGTCCCCCGGCTGGCTTTTGAACCGTGCGCATTGGGGTTATGTGGTACGCACCTTAACCATTAGACTACCAGGGCTTCCAAAAAGAAGTCAGGTCAGTAGTTCTGAGTGATTACCGTGGGGATTTCAACATAGGCAGCGCTGAAGCTTTGTCTCAAAAAAGCCTCCTTATCTGCTTTTAACCATCAGTGGCAATCAGAGGGTTGTCAGTGTAAAGTTGGAAGAGGGCGGCTAATAATATGTCTATAAGCTGGTGTTGGTTTTGCTCTTGCTGGATGGAAGATATTATTATTTCAAGGCAGCTCTTTCATTCGTTCACACACAAGCTGGTACATTTTTCTTGGTTGGAGATTATCAGTCAATTGCAAAAAGTTGATCTGCTCTTCAGGTTGCCCCTGTCCTAGTTGATGATAATTTAGCTCCTTTTTATCTGAAGTGCCCTTTTAACTATAATTTAACCATTTTGTGCTGTATTTTCTCACCAGAAAGGCACTTGTATATAAAACATATATCAAATATATAAAAGAATTTTAATACCATGTTTTTTTAAACCATACGGACATCTGAGTAGCACGGCACACCCACCCTTTTCATCTGAAGGTTCATCCTGAATGGGACATTTCCTTTGTTTTTACCCTAATGTCTATAGAAATGTGTTTGTTTCTGCTATAGGGACACCAGATTGGCTTAGTGGATTCACAGCTCATTGTATATATTGGTCCAATGTTAGTTGTTGTTTGTTTTTAAGTTTTACCCTGGCTTCTTAGAGTCTGTTCACACCTCTGTATGCAGAACAAAAGTACAAAGAGGGCCTTTCACAGGAGCCACCACCCTCATAAAGTAACTAATTCCCACAGTTTGATTAAGCATTTGATTTTTACTTAGATAAAAGTAGCAGTACAACAATATAAAAGTAGTCTATTAAGCCAATTATAAAATGCGCCTATGTCACTCTACACTGCCTGTACACCACGTTAGAAATACATCCGTTCCATCCAAGTTAACATGATGCGGATAAATGCTGCTTGTGCTTTCTTCAATTGATGCGCAGAGAGATATTGTACTGCCTTCCTGATTTATTTGTTTATTTCAGAAAGTCAATAAACAAATGAATCAAGGTGGATATTGAATCGGAAACAGAACAAAGATTGCAGAGAGGCAGTGATCACGAGTATTCGAGGGAGAAACAGATTAAAATGAAGAGAAGGATAAATAACATTTTCTTCAGATTCCTCTCTAAATAAAGAATAGAATTTGATATTAAACTTCATGCATTTTAAACCAACACTCTGAAAGCTGGTGTTTAAAATTAAAACATTTCTTCTTCCGTTTCAAGCATAGCCAGCGCATTAACAGTTCAGAGAGGCCTTTTTATTTTTCTTCACACGCCACACAAGTGGGAAGATTGTGTTTGGAGCTGTGATTGGATTTAATGTTCCTCTGTAATACCTACACAGTAGAAAACCTCATGTGTTTTGGAAGATGAAAAAGAAGGCGTTCTTTAAATGCAAGGCTGAGATCACACAGAGGCACGTTGCTTGAAGCAAAACACTTGAATTAACTACCGAACTGTTTACATGTAGAAAGACACACCAGCTGCATTCAGTGCCATGTGATACAGCAGTGGTTTGTAGCAGTTTGCTTTGCATTTTGGTTGCTTTATAAGGTATAAAGAAAATGTTTTAAAAACATGAATTGAATTAATTAAATGAATATCAATGTTTTTTGTTTACAGGGTGTCATGTATCTAAAATCAGCTTTTTGTTTCAAAGTTTTTCGAAAGCGAGAGAAATAAGTCTTCAGTTTTGGCTACCCAGTGATGACACAGCTGGATACAAATGAACCATTATGTTGTGTGTTTGTGTGTGTGTGTGTGTGTGTGTGTGTGTGTGTGTGTCTCCTTTTGGTTGCCAAGCAACCACAGTAGATAATGTCTCGGAGTGATGGGAGGTTTCTGTCTGGGTGTGTGACGTTCTGTTTGCCTTGTGCGCGACTTGCTCCTGCGGGATCGGGGGAGGGGGGGCCGCGGTGTCCGGACTGAGCCCCCATCAATTCAAAGTCAATCAGATCACCTCTGGGTGTGGTTTGGCTCACTGGGTCGCAGTGTGATCTACATCTGTTCCTTGGGGAAATTGTCCTGATGGAAAATGACAAATGACCGAAAAGACATTTAACCATATGCTCTGATGTTCAGCCTCCCTGAGTGAAGTAAAGAGGATTAAACAAACTTTACTACTTTGCCTGGGTGTTAAAATCTGTTTCTGCTTTGTCCTGTGTAGTCCACCGACAGAATGTGCCACCTGCAGGCAAGAATTAGCATAATTAGAGATAAGTACAGTCTAAAAGATGAAATGATAACTTATTTTGAGTAGCCAGATGAAGAATTCGGGAAGAGAGAAACCCACAGACAAACTTTAACAATACTGTAGTTGAATGTTATTGATCAATGCATGAATGATTTATACTTTTATAAGTGCTGGGTAATCAATCAAAAGTGACTGCTAAGGGCTTTTATTGATCTTACTGGTCAGAAATCTAATTTAGGATACACGCTTAGAAGATGTAATTGTGGCTCTGTTACGAGAGAGGGGAAATAAATAGTCACACTTTGTTTAAAATTAAAACATAATCAGTTCTGCTCTATTAATCATCTTATCTTACATAAGTCCGTCTTGCCCTATCTAATTTGCTAAGAATCAGTATTAGTTCTCTGCCTGTACAATTCTAGTGCTTAGTCCTTAGGATAATTATATCGATACAGCCATCCCATCCTAATGAAAGGATCTAAATGATAGTGTAGCTGGAGGCAGCGGCAGACCTTTAATCTGTCCTGATCAGGCATTAGGAGAATAAATCTGCCCAGGTTGCCAAAGGCCTAATCAATAGAATACTGAGCTGTCCAGCCCAAAAACGCAGAGCCCTGATGAGCAGCGAGACACGGCTAATCACACGTTGAGCACGACAGCGTCCGTGACACGAAGCAAAAGGGTGAGAAACCTGCTGTGCTCAGAAAACCATTTTCTCTTCTGGAGCATTTATTACATTTGCCAGAATGAAGCATCGTGCTCACAGAAACTGGGGAGTCATGACTCAGTGGCTGAAAATAAAGATTTAAAAAAATCCAAGAAGAAAGGGATTAAATGACTGTCATACTTTTTCTAATTTCAGAGGCCAAACTCAATTGGAGTCCATATATTCTGCAGTCTGTAACCAGCAGGATTTACCTCCTCTTTAGAGCAGAAACTGGGAGGATCAGTTCAGGTACCATCATTTTTAAAGCCATGCAGAGAGAAGAAAAGTAGTTTCTTGCATTTTGAAGTGAAACCATTGTAAAGTGAGTGATGTACTATGCTTCCTGCCAGGACCGTGGTGAGTGTTCAGTTCTGACTTGCAGTTTCTTATATTTTCTGTGGCTCTGGAGGAGCTTTGTGAAGTCTGAGGAAAAAAAGCTAAAGTGACATCACCTGAGTATCTCAGGAGACCACAAAAACAGAAAGCTTTTTCACAGTCAGAGGGTGAGGAGTCAGAAGAAGGGGGGGGCTTTTAACCAGAGAGGCAGGCAGCAAAGTCTAACTAAAGACGCTGTCATATTGAATTATGGGAAGTGTCTTGACCCCCAATTTTATGGAAGCAAGAAAACAGACACACTGTCAGCTGACAATGATTCAGTCCTCAGACGTTTGTCAGGTAGAGTTCATAAAGACAACGCATGAACTGATGTCCACTGATCACAGGGCTGGCAGTTCGATCCCCACCTGTCCACAGGTCAAAGTGACACTGAACCCCAAATTGCTCCCGATGGTTGGTCAGCACCCTGCATGGTAGCCTCGTTGCCATCAGCGTGCGAGTGTGTGAATGAGCGGCAAAATCCTTGTAAAGCGCTTCGGATCAAAGCGCTGTATAATGTATAAATGAAGGAGTTTATCATTTGACTGAAACATCGTGAGGACAGTTCATGGACAATGTGCGGGATTCTGTGTTTTCGAAACCACGTTAGGAGTTTTTAATCTCTTTTGAAATTGTGACATGGAGGTGCAATACTAACTCGCAGCCTACTCTTTTAAGAGACATATCAACATTTGAAATTGGCCGTTACTAGGATTCTCACATAGTAGGGGTGACAACCTGTGATCAAAACTTGATAAAAGGTT